GGTCCTCTGCGGAGATTTCAGCCTGACCGGCCCTTTGGCCCAAGTCAGTTCCACACTGCTGGTCAGAGGCAGGGACTCTGGAAGCAGAGTAGATAAGGAAACAAAAAAGCTCCAGCCACAGAAAAGGGGTAGCCCCGAAGGGCTGCCTGCCCCCACCCCCACCATCGGGGCTCCCCGGGTCCAGTTAGGAGAGGGTTCTCTGCCCCCTAGCAGTTTGTAGATGTGTGTTGAGAGGAGGATGTCTCGTGATGCTTGGAAGCAAGAGGGAATGCACCTGGTTGGGAGCCCTTTGGGGGCATGGGAGGCTGGTGGCGATCTCCTTCTGACTGGTGGGGCTTCTTCCAGGAACACGTCATCAGCAGAAACAGACGCGAGCCGGGCAGGCACCGTGCTGGTCTCTGAGACCCTCTGCTCACAGTCGGCAGGGATGCTCTGCGGGTCGTCTGGGGGACACACCGCTGTCGTCTCCTTCTGAGTCAAGAACCTGGAGGCAGGAACCCCACACTGACCGCAGTGACCAGGAAGGAAAATTTTGGTGTTGCACCAAGGAGACAGGAGGGTGTTCAATGTGCAAAAGACAGAAGGCCCAGACTGAGGCTAGGTGTGTGGCCTCCTTTCTTGGGCAAGAGTGTGAAAGCTGCCCCCATCCCCAGCTTGGTCCACAGAGTCTCACCTGGAAAGTTTGGTCTGAAACAATGGTCTGGGGGTTTCTGCTCCTTGGGGAACAGCCTAGAAAGACGAACAGTGGAATGAAATGTGGCTCGAGTTTTCAGTTTCCCAGATGCTCCCCCACGTCCCCGCCAGCCTGACTCCCCTCTCTTCCATACCTGGACGCCAGGCATGGCCCCTGCGGAACCTCCCCAGGAACCCGAGACTTCGCCTGAAGCGCTCCGACTGCGACCGGCAGGCCTGTAGGTGTCTGCGAGCTTCAGCTTCGAGGACCCGGAGTGCAGGTAGGCTGTGCTTCGGGGCTGGGTCTTGGGCAGCCATCTGATCCGGTGACATTCTAACTCAGCCAGCGCGGGATGCTGCAACGCCTGGGGCTGGGGCCCGGCGAGGCCAGTGCTGGAGCAGGCTTCACCCGTGCATTCCCCTGCCGGCCCCCCGCCTCGACCCACGCGGTCCAGCTTCCCTGGCTCGGAGAAGCACCACTTCCGCTGCTGGTTGGTGAGGGGACCCCGGCCCGCGGTTCCTGGCGCGGGAGTCCGGGAGCAGGCGGGCTCCACCTCCCCGCCCGGGTGGCTCAGCGAGGCGGAGCGCGCGTGCACGGCGGGGGGCCGCGCGGGGGCGGCGGGCCGCAGGCGGGCGGGCAGGCTCATGCGGAGCTCCTTGCGCTGGAAGGACGTCTCCCGGAGCACGCGCCGCTGCGCGCCCTGCAGCCGCTGGCGGTAGGCGGCCCTCGAGGCCGGCGGGCTGGGCGGCTCGGCGGCTCGCGCCGCGGCTTCTGCCTCCGCCGCCAGCGCGTAAAGCAGAGGGGTGGCCTGTCTGTTTAGTGGCCCCGGGATGCCCGGAACCTCCGGCTGCTGGGGCCCATTGCGCGTAGCGACCGCGGGCCGTAGCGACGCAGGCCGGGGCCGCGGGGATGTACGAGGCGCGGCGTCGGGCAGGGCGGGTGCCGGGCCGCCCCAAACCACGCGCACGTAGTCCCAGTCTAGGTAAGGCAGGAGGTCGGTCCCCGGCGACGGCGTGCGCTGCTCAGGACCGCCCGAAGCCGCGGAGAAAGAGCTGTAGGCCGAGTCTGCGCGCACGGACAGCCGCCGCAGGTCCAGGCTGCGGGTGGGCGAGGCTGGGGAGGCGCGCTCGCCCCCAGCACCCAGGGCCTCCATGGCTGCGCGGGTGGGTGGGCACTGGCTGGCTCCGTGGGTCCTGGAAAAACGTACGTGGAGTGGTGGGTGAGGAACTCCAGGTAAGGGTTAGAACAGCCTGCTGGCCCCTCCAGCGCGGAGAGCTAGGCGCTTATAGGTCCTCTCTGCGGCCACACTGTCCCTGACACTGGCAGGCATCCCCTTTCCCCCAGATTTTGGGGCGTCACCCTGGGGTCAGGGATGGGGAGCAGTAGGACCAGTCCCAAGGAGCTACTCTGGTGGTTGAGGGCCTCAGCTCAGGAGAAAGGAACTGGCTGGCGCCTGGCTCCTACCCCCTGCTGGGCCCCCTAGTCCACAGCAGCACCTTCTACCCTGCTCCCCCTGCAGAGCTGAGATCCTACCCAAGGTCCTTTCCTCCCCAGCCCTGTTCCACCCAGGCTGCTTCCTGGCAGCTCTGTTAGCCTCTCCGCGTGATCTTTCCCCAACAAACACGGGTCTAAAATGATCTGAGATCACAGGGGAGCCAAGAAAGGAGTGGGGAGACCCAGGGCAGGGGCAGCTTCACGGCCTTCCTCCCTTCCTCTGTGCCTGCTATGGTCCCATGCTTTATAGAAATATTTATCTTGATCCTCGCAACTGCTATCTGCGTTTTACAGATGAGGACACTGGTTCTGAGGGGGAAGTGGTTTGCCCAGGGACACATAGCTGGCAAGTGGCACAGCCCTGCCTGGACTCTGGGCCTGCCTCCAAGCTCACTGCAGCCAGAATCAATTTCCTGGGAGCAAACCCTGCTGACAGCCAGTGTGTCATGCCCCCTGCCTGCCCCAGCCGCCTGAATCCTCCCAACAAAACCCAGACTCCGCTGTGAGGAACAGTTGCTCCCAGCTCCCCACGCTCTATTGACATTCCAGAATAATATGGTCCCTGCTTCTGAGACTTTGCCTTTTGTCTAGAAATGACCCACTGACCCCCTCTTTGCCCTGCTACTCTTGTTGATACTATAGGGCTCAGCTGAGAGGTCTCCTGACCTTTTGGGATTCCTGCCGTGTCCTGAGCTTCTCCCCACCTAGCACCCATCACCCCACATTGTAATTGTTGGCTTGCTTGGGATTCTGTCCTCCAATCCCACCCCTGAGCTTCCTGAGGACGGGCCCTGCTCTTACTCATCACTGTGCCCTCGGTGTCTGGCACAGTGCCTGGCACGTAGTCAACCTTAAGTAAATATTTGTTGAATGGCAAAGGGAAAGAACAGACTTGCGGGGAGTAGATGTAGGGGCGGCCTTCGTAGAGAGGGACGAGGGCTCCTGAACTTCTGCACACCATTCTCTCCTTCCTGAAAGACTTTTCTGGGGAAGAGGGCAGGGTGGGTGAAGCACTGGCTACCACGGACACTGACCAGGTTCCTCGTGCACTGTTAGCAACAAACAGACCAGGACTGGCCAGAAATCCACACCTCCCCAGTCCCTCAAGGGTACCCAGGTTAAGGGTTGGGTGGGTGTGCCTGGGTCAGGGTGACAGCAACCTTGAAGCTTAGGAACGTGGGGCTCCCTATGAACTATGGAGACTTTGGCGGTGGGGAGTGGCTTGCCTTCCCTGAGCTGCTTGATGGACAAGTAGGGTGGCCACATGCAGCTGGGGTGGGGACCAAAGGACAGGCTTGTTTGAGCCTCCTAGACACTATTGGGAGTGCAGAGCTACCCTCTGTGAACATCCCTGCGGCCCATAATGTTACAGATTGCTGGTTAGGGAAGTAGGGCAGTTAGTGGCAGGAGGGTACAGTGTTTCCTACAAGGCAGAGGCAGTCCCTGCAACGTTCCTAGGAGGGGCTCCCGGCAGACCTGGGACCAGAACATCTTGACATGACCCACCTGGGGGGCATCTTTATGCCCATTAAGCCCTGCAGGTTGGCCCTCACACTCAGGCTTGGGGATTCTTCTGCAAAGCGTTTCCACTCTCTAAACTTCAGGACAATGAGCTACTCTGAATAGCAGCTCCTGGGGGCTCAGACACCAGCCCTTTCTCTTCATAGGCCTAGTCCTAGTGCCCCCAGCTTGGCAGCGCTGTTTCCCTGGCTCATGGCACTCATCCTGCCCATTTGGGCTTGCCACATCCACAGACAAGGGCCGACAAGATACAACGATGTTTCCTCAAATGAGGCCTTGAAAATCTATAAAAATCTCTTATTTGTGAGTTAACAAAGGATTCTGAATCCAGCAAATGAAAACCGCTTGAATGGGCAATAAAAATGTGTATGTGCATCTGTCTTATATTGACTCTAACTTGTCTTGAGGATGCTTCTGCATTGGTGGCCCCACCAGACTGACGTCCATACAAGACATCAACCTCACATGCTCACATTGTGCCTTCTGCAGAACCTGCCATGCCAGGAGGGCCCAGCTGCTTTAGTGTGTATTGGGGCCAAAGCACAAAGTACCAAGGGGTTTTCACATTTCTCTGGCTGCAGAGAGCTTCCTGCAGTTCAGCCAGCCCCCTGTGGCAGGGGATAGCCATACCCTAAGGGCCCCCACGTCAGCATCAGTGTCAGCTGTGGGCTGGACCGCAGAGCCTGTGCCTGCCGGAACACAAGTCCAGAGGCTGGAGCTCAAAGATCTTACTCTGCAGGCATTTGGCCAAGCCTCACCAGAGCAGGGGGAACAGCACGGAATCCCTGCTAGAAAGCCGCCAGATTGGGGTTCTGGGGGGAGAGGAGGGAAACATTCCATATATATTTGGCACCTGAAAGAAGGAGCAAGAGAGGAAGAGGAGACAAAGATGAGTTCAGCATTCAGAGTTCGGGGGCTGAGAGGCGGAGGCACCAGTCCCGAAGGAGCAAGCTGGGGCTGGGGACTGGCCAGAGGGGTCCGGTGCTCCTCCGGTCTGGAGCCCGTGGGCCTTGCAGTGTCTGGGAGGTCTGGTCTGGAGCCGGGCGGACAGGGTGGGCCAGGCAAGCGGGCGACCCACGTTTCCAGTTAGGGGTTGTTGGGGAAATAGACGATGACACTTTTAATCCCACCAAGGCAGTGGGAACAGACCCAGGTAAGGTGACCGAGGAGGCGCCGGGAAATAGCCAGCCTCAAATTCAAATGATCAGGATTTCAATCCGACCTCTCTGCAAGGCCACCTCACATCTGACCCTGCTAGTCCCGGCCGCCCCTCCCAGCCATCCTCCCTCAGAGCCGGGCTCACTGTGGGGGCGCTGTCTGCACGTCGCTCTCCCAGCCAGGCTGAGTTCCTGGGTCCCGGGCCAACCTCCGGCTAGGTCTGGCCGGGCGGGCGTTCCGGTAAGTTCCGCGGCCCCCCTGTTCCCAGCGTCCCCCCACTGTCCCTGCGCGTTGGCGCCGACCGCGCAGCCCATGCGGTGCCCGCGCTCCCCGAGAGCGGCCGGTTCCGCAGCTCGTCGGTGCCGCAGCCCCGATGCGGGCTCTCCAGGGACCCAGCTCCGCGCCGCGCGCAGGAAGTGCAGGACGCCGGCGACACCTGGGGACGGGAGGCCGCGGGCGCGCCCCGACCTCGGTACCCGAGGCTTCAAGCTCCGGGGGTCGAGGCGCGCGGGGAGGAAGAGGGGAGCGGGCCCCGGCGACCGCAGGGGGCGGCAGAGTCCCGCGGGGCGGCGGGAGGGCGGGTGGCCGCCGACCCGCGCACTTCTCGGACTTTCCGGTTGGGTTCGCCGCGGGGGAAGGAGGGCTCGGACCGCGCGCACAGGGACGGCGCGGGCCCGGGCCAGAGGGGCCCGGATTCTCCAGCCGCTCCGCGAGGAAGGGCGGGGCCGGGGGTCGGGAACTTGAGACCCCACTGCGCGCGCCGGCCACACGCGGGTCCCCCGCAGCTCGGCCGGCTGTGTCCCCTGCCCGCACCGCGGCCGGGCAAAGGCGCGCAGGGGCGCGGCTCCACTCGCGCCACCGGACTCGGCGCGGGGACCGACACCCGGCGAACGCCGCGCGCTGCCCGCGCCCCGCCCCACCGCCTCGTGCCCCCGCGCTGTCCCCCGCCGCCGCCTCCCCGAGCCGCCCGCCGACCCCGGCCCGCGCCGCCGCCCGCCGCCGCGTACCTCCGTGCGGCCCGGAGACGCCTCCGGGCGGCCGCGCGCGCGGTGACATCAGAGCCCCGCTCGGGCTCCGACCCCACTCCCGGCTCGCGCGCGGGACACAGGGGAGCGCCACGTCCGGCCGCCGGGGCGGGAGCTGCCGCGCCTTTGTGCTGCTGCTCGCGGGCCGCGCCCGGACGAGGGTGCACGTGTCTCCCCGGACAGGCCTCTCGCCGGGCCGGACGCGGGAGCGCGGGGGAGGAGGCGACTCGACCACTGCCCGCACCTCCAGCGCGGCCAGGCTAGACGCGCCCCTGGTGTCCAGGTCCCGCGGCCCGACACCCCCCTTGGCGGGGAGCCCAGGCCAGGTGGCTGCCCCTTTTCCTCTCAAACCGGCCAGGAAAACAGATCCGCCAAGGTTGCGCCCAGTCCTGTGCCTCTGAGTGCGGCTGCGGATGTTCACACGCGCTTGATCAACCCTCCTCTAGGACCCCGTTTCCAACTCTTGCAGCTCTTTAACTCCCGCCACGGGCTCTTGTCTCCATTCTTGTCCCCTTTCTTTCCAGTTCTCCCACCAAGCACAGTCTAGGCCAGGCGTCCGCAAACTACGGCCCCGGGCACCTGGGTGGTTTTTGCCTGTTTGTTTTTTACTTCAAAATAAGATACGTGCAGTGTGCATCAGGAATTTGTTCATGGATTTTTTTTTTTTTTTTAACTACAGTCCGGCTCTCCAACGGTCTGAGGGACAGTGAACTGGCCCCTGTTTAAAAAGTGTGCGGACCCCTGGCTCTAGGCTCCTCTGGCCTGCCGGGGAGGCGGGAGACATGGGGAAGTCCGTGGACTTGTGCATTCACCCTGGGTGCCCTGAGTGGGTCCCTAGGTGCTGGCGCATATGCACCCCCTGTGGCTGCAGTCGGGCTCCCAAGACTTCACCTTTGGGCACCTCCCGTTCCAAAGAATCCTCTGCCTGGACCTGCCACTTTGCTCGCCTCCTTGCTATGTCGAAGGCCCTCTGCCACAACTTGCCAAACTATCCTGTGAACAACCCTGCCCAGAAAGGCTCCATTCCTAGGAGAGCTAGCGGCCCTTTGCCAAACCTCCAGCTCTGAGGCCTCTGCTCCTGTCCTCAGCTGCCCTCACTCTCGCTCAGGGTCAGCAGGCCTAGGGACAGGGACCGTGTCTCCGGGGTGGCATTCTGACAGTAAAAGGTGCTCGCTGGTGGTAATAACCGGGACCCGAATTCCGGCCAGGAGTCAAGGAGCTTGAGGAACTCTGTCTTCTTGAGTCTTGGGGGTGGGAGGTTGGAGGCGGCAGGCACCTGAGCGCTGCTTCTGAGAGTGGCCCTTCCTGGCCTCACTCAGGCGTCAGCTTGCTGGGCTGGAGCTGGAGCTCTGGGCCTGGACAATGGCCCTTTCAAGACCCTGATCCAAGTGGTCTCAGAGCACCGTCATATAGAAAGAACACACCTAGCATCCAAAAACCATTTAACAATTGCTCAAGGTTTTTACTTATATTTCTTGAAAACCGTGGGGACACAGTGTCCATAGACTCTTATCAACCCATTCACCCCTCCTGCCCCTTGTTGTCTTTTTTTTCTTTTTCTTTTTTTTTATTTCGGCATATTATGGGGTACAGATTTTAAGGTTTCAATAAATGCCCATTTCCCCCCTCCCCCCAAAGTCTGGGTCTCCATCATGACCATCCCCCCCTTGTTTGTCTTGAGCACACCACAGCAACTCTCTGCCTGGATTCACAGAAAACGGAAATCCTGGCCACCCATGTCTCTCTTAGCCTTCTCTTCCCAGAAAGAGATGCTGGAGCACACACAGCAACCCTCTGCCTGGATTCCCAGAAAATGGAAATGCTGACCACCCATGTCTTCTCTTAGCCCTTCTTTCCCAGAAAGAGATGGCGAGCCCTGACAGCTAGAAGTTGGCCTGGGACCACCACCTGGACCTTGGTGTGGCCAGAGGCTGACCTGACATTCACAGAAAGGCCCTGTTGGTGTATCCTTTCACATAAACCACTTACAAGGAGGTCAACATGGAGACAAGGGTCATTTTTTTTTTTTTTTTTTTTTGAGGACAGAGTCTCGCTTTTGTTGTCCAGGGCTGAGAGTGAGTGCCGGTGGCGTCAGCCTAGCTCACAGCAACCTCAAACTCCTGGGCTCCAGTGATCCTTCTGCCTCAGCCTCCCGAGTGAGCGTGGGACTACAGGCCATGCGCCACCCATTGCCCGGTTAATTTTTCTATATATATATAGTCAGTTGGCCAATTAATTTGTCTTTCTATTTATAGTGAGAACGGGGTCTCGCTCTTGCTCAGGCTGGGTTTTGAACTCCTGACCTTGAGCAATCCGCCCGCCTCGGCTCCCAAGAGCTAGGATTAAGGGCGTGAGCCACACACGCCCAGCCTAGACAAGGTCATTTTTAACCAGGATGGATAAAGACAAAAACAAAAGCAACTCTGTGATTGTGTCTGACACAGGCAAAGACATGAGCATTGTCCAAATCACAAAAATGACCAAATATCTTTCCCTCCTAGCTAGAGAGTGGCCACTGCTTCTTTATCAATTGTAGGTTTGACCTCACTCCAGTCATTGCTTTCTGGATAAAATTAATGTACCTAATCACAGAACTCATGCTTCCTAACAGCTTCCCACACAGATAAAGCCCTGCTCCTTTTTTTTTTTTTTTTTTTGAGACAGAGTCTCACTTTGTTGCCCAGGCTAGAGTGAGTGCCGTGGCGTCAGCCTGGCTCACAGCAACCTCAATCTCCGGGGCTCAGTGATCCTCCTGCCTCAGTCTCCAGAGTAGCTGGGACTACAGGCATGCGCCACCATGCCCGGCTAATTTTTATATATATATTTTTAGTTGGTCAATTAATTTATTTCTATTTTTGGTAGAGATGGGGTCTCGCTCAGGCTGGTTTCGAACTCCTGACCTTGAGCAATCCGCCCGCCTCGGCCTCCCAAAGTGCTAGGATTACAGGCGTGAGCCACTGCGCCCGGCTTAGCCCTGCTTCTTGAACTCTCTCAAAACCCGCAAACACAAGCCCAAACCCTATAAGTCCTTTTTAATGCTTTCTTCCTGAGACACCCCGTGGCTCCCCATGCCTGTGATTTCCTGCTCTGCAGCAAGCAGTGAACCCAACTCGCTCAACTATGTTCCTGATGTTCTTTGGCTAGAGGGCATTGACATTTCCTATCTCGGTATTACAAAAGCCCAAAGAATCTTGGAGTGGAGGAGGGGAAAGAAACTGCTGGAAAGGTGGAGTCTTCCTTAGTGATGGTGGTTGGGGGTGGAGGGTAGGGAAGAGGGGGCGGTTGCATGTAGAGGATGAAAACATGCATATATTTTTCTACTACATGAAAAGACAGGTGTCTGTGCCCTTCAGTACCTCAGTATTTTCTCAGGCCTGGTAGAGTTCTTTGGAAGAGTCCCCTAGAGCCAGGCACTGTGGCTTGGGCCTGTAATTCTAGCTACTTGGGAGACTGAGAAGGGAGGATTTCTTAAGGCCAGGAATTCAAGACCAGCCTAGGCAACATAGCAAGACCCTGTATCTTAAAAAAAAAAAAAAATGTATATTAGAGTCCTCATTTTCCTACATCCTAACAATGTGATATCAAACTTTTTGATCTCTGAAATATGAAAGGTGAAAATAGTATCTCACATTTACATTTCTTTTATCATGAGATAAAATACATCATTTTGTGTATTTAAAAGCCATTTGTATTAACTATGATCTGCCCATTTCCTTTGCACATTTTTCTGTTGGGTTATCAGTATTCTTATTGATTTGTAAGAGTTATTTATACATTAAGGCAATTAATACATTTTCCTGTTTGTGGCAAATATTTTCCCAAGTTTGTGTCTTTGCAAGTTGTGGCAGCAATGGATCTGTAGTGCATACTTGAAGCAAAAGATGTATCGATCTTTTAGGCAGCAGCTGCGTAGCTGTCAGAGATGGTACTGCATGTATTAAAGGACATTAAAGACCAGAAATCTTTCAACAAAATCATGTTGTCTATTTTCGGAAATCCAACAAAGCATGAGTTATTGCTTATACACAGATGTCTACTTAAATTGTAAATGCTCTATGGGGGCAAGTTTGTTTGCTTTTTAATTATGCATTGAATTCACCACAGCTGTCCAAAGACAGAGCTTTCTAGGAAGACAGCCAGAGAAGAAAGTGCTCGGAGAGTGAAACTTACCTTCTCCTGTGACAGACAAGACCTCTGCACAGGGCGGGTCGAAGG